CAATTTCCCATCTCATACGAATACTTTCTGACAACATTCAGGAGTTTTTAGAACATTTCATGAAACTTCTCACCTACTCGGCAGTTCTTATTGCTCAATGCTGAGAGTTGTTTCATTAGATCTCTGATCGTCCAGTTCATAGCAAAACAACAAGTTCCACTTAAGTCCATTTGTTGTTTTCCTATAAATAGCGAATAAGCAAGATCAAACTCATCAGTTGAGGTCTAATTAAGTGTCTAATGAAGTTGAATTGTGTTCACTTTGAATTGTGTGTTCAATTGTTCAAGTTCTATTCGAACATTGAGTTAATTCCATAATTGCAATTTAATTCAGTTGAGAAAAGGTATTGGCTGTTCTCACAAAGTTTCTGGCATATCAGCGAGATTTTCCGACAAACGATCAGTTAACGATGCTGCGAAAAGCGTTTACGTAAGTTGTTCATGTGCTGTTGTTAGCCACAAAAAAAGCTCACATATCCATGCATTCATGCAGCCGTTTTGAACTTTTCTAGAAATTATGCACATTTCCATTGAGCACTTACTTGATTCAGCGTTCGAATAGTTGAATTTGAATCATTTGACACTTTCAAAAGAAGTCAGTCATTCATTCCATTAGCTTCGCGAAGCGAGNGTATGTTCAGAGCAATGAATAAATAAATATTCCGATGAATAAGCGGACGAGAATTTTACAGCAGTTCTCTGCGCTCGCTCATTAATTCCATGCATAAACAACGAAACCGGAGCAGACTAGTGAAAAAAAATTGCACTTTCGATTGTTCGCTCTTTTCGATCACAATGAATTCCAATGCGAAATTTTGAAATTTACAGTTGGAAAAATGCAATTTCGTTTGAAATTTCAGTTTACTGCTTGCGTTTGCGATTCTGGCTGAGTCAATTCCGTATCAATTTAACAACGGGAGTTGGAATAGCATATTCATTGGAAATGGACCGAACTATTACTGCGAAATAAGGGTTTGAACCACTTCATTCAATCAAAGTGGTCTAATGAACTAACTGATCAATGATTTTGAATCAGAATGAAACGTATAAGAAATTTGGAAACAGTAAAACTTTTAACGGAGAAAAAATGCTCAATTTCAAGCAATCTTTTCTTAATGGGTGCATTTTTTGCATATGAGACTATCAAATCTTATTCGAATAAGTGAAATCTTGACCAAGTGCTGACCAACTCTTTTGATCAATTTTATTCGAATTCCGGATTGAGGCCAGCAGTGCAGTCAGGTTTGATATTGTATGAAGGATCCTGAGCTAGAAATATAAAAAATTCCTTTTGAGGTTTCCAGATTTTTGTCCGACATTTCAGGGTGACCAACTCTACCGAAACGGTCAACTGGTACGAACACTAACTGCAGCGGATCAAAGAGAGTTGGCTGTTTACAACTCTAAAGTTCAGGTATGGAGCGATAACCTCAACATGAGAATTCAGCATGTAAGTGATTTTTATCTCATAACAGTACTAAACTAGGACAACTTACGAAACTTTATTTCTAAAGAATCATTTGCTTTCACTTTTACATTATTCAAATCATAAGAAATCTGAAGACGGTTTGATTCTGATTCACTGAATAAAAACATTCACGTGTTTTCCGTAAAAATCAATGGTTAGAGCTACATTAAAATGTTTTGAAACACAGAATTCAATTGAAATTCTGGAGGAGTTGAAGTTCAATGCTACATAGTGGGTGCAGAATTTCATCAGTTCAACAAAAATGAAATGTTTCGCAATGTTTCGTCGAATTAATTGAATTCTTTCAAACAATAGAACAGAAAATAATAGCAACAAAACGGTGATGATTTGAATTTGATTCACAAACGACAAATTAAGATTCGTATCATTCATTATTTGCATTCCGTTTTCTGTTTTCAGCAGATCAATTTACAAATGAATGAATTCCGCAAGCAAATGAACGCTGTTTTTGGGCCCGGTGGATCGTTTCAAAGATCCTTCCAAGGACCATTCTGGAATAACAGGAACAGGCCGGCACCAACCACGATGCCACTGCTTCCTGTAGAAGAGACTAAACCTATTCCGGAAATGCCATTCCCTGATCCACCAGCTTTCTGCTACGAAGGTCACTAATGCAACAAATAAAGGCCCAGTTAAGACTCTTCAACTATCTTCTTATCAATGAATTGAGATGTATATCAAATGCGCATTTGATTCGCTAATCAAAAACTATATCTCAGCCATCTGCACGAACATACCGAGCACTAAAATGTTCGTTCCTCATGCTGAACACCACCACATCCGAATGTTCCCACATTGTGATCGTACTTTATTATCCGTGTAATCATACTTTTCAACTGGGTATGTATCATAAACATGAATAAACGAACTTAATCCCACTTAATCTGCATTCTCCGAATAGCTCAATAACTCATCTGGATCCAACTGATCGCTACTCCGATCACTGTGATTTTGCAGACCGATTTTCGATGACACCCTGAATGTTTAATTTGCGATGGTATTCGGAATGAATTCCATGCAAATTCCATGCTTCGTACTATTCGCACTATACGTAGTTCAGGATGAATGTCCAAAATATCGTCTAAATCAAACGAGCATCACCTCAAATGTAGCTCTCACTCGCAAAATCTACCCCCTCATACCAAACTGCAAAAATGCTTGTGATTCATGTAATTACTAAAATTTATCACATGATAACAGTTTCTCAACCCACACTATCATACTGTCGCTGCATTCAACAATATGTGAAGAGAAACAGCTGATTGTGAG